GGGGGGGGGGGGGGGGTTAGCCTTTAATGTCACTTTAAGGTTACCTGATATGTCTGATAACTGTAAAATTATATAAGTGCTAGAATTTAAGTGTACAGTAGAGCTCTGACAATTGGATTACAAGGGGCAGAGCTTAGCAGCTGATGAAGATAGGGCTGATTCTCAAAATGGTCAAAAGATGAGGCACCATGCACAGGCTTAACCCATGAACCAAGGGGGTCCATGCAAGTATCTCCACTTCAGAGCTGTTGCTAACTCACAAAAGTTTAGGAAAGGTCAGATTGACTTCAGTGCTTACTGACACATACATTATTGACAAAGAAAAAATATGGAAGTGCCACCTTCTGTGAAAGACAAGCAATACTGTGTTTTGAGAAAGGTATGTTATTGGCAATGTTAAAGGCAATTATATGGACTGTGCGTTCTGGGAAAATTTATTGTACTGATGTACTAGGAGAAGGATTTGTGACTGAAGCCAGGGCTGGGACTGCTTGAGCTATACTTTACACTAGCAACCAGTGGTCTTTACTGTCATTTCATGAAAGGGTAGTCTACTGTGACTGTCCGGTACCATGTATGGTAGTTTGGCGAATATCACACAATGGTGAGCGCTAAGTGACCACTCCTGAAGCTGACTTTAACATAAAAGGACAATCTTTATTCACTCAAAGGTCAACAATCCATGTACTGTAACCTGCTTTTCTTCAGCATAACGAAACATAACAGTTAATTTGACTTTCATCAAAACATCATGTTTTGGTCTCACCGAGATCTGTCTGTCCCATACACTCCCAGTGTGATAGTCCCAGGACTTTACCGTATTTCTCTGCAAATATAGACCTCAGTATCGCTCAGTAGCTTTCCTCAAAGTGCTCAAAGTGTTTCAGTGCTCACAAGTCACTGTCTCTCAGTCTCTCCAACAGGTCCCTTGGGTGTCACTGACCCTCACGACCTCTCCCAGGCTTCTGCGGCTGTACCACATGTGCTCGCACACGCAGCAGGGTATGTCTGTGGCCGTGTGCCTCCTGCACACCCACAACTCCCCTGTGCTCTGGTCCAAAAACTCTGATAAGGCTTTTCTCAGGCACCCTTTACTGATTGATCAGGTCATTGGCAACACCTGGCCCCAGGACTAGAGATTCCATTCCTGATACATTCTGGAGAACCTGGAAGAAACTGAAAAGCCAGCTTCTTCCCTGCAAAAGTATTCACATCCTAGAACCTCTCAGCCACTCTGACTGAGATTTCTCGGTGACTGTGTTGCCAAATTACATTGTAGCATTGCCACTCACCTCTACGCCTGGTGCAGCACAAGTAGCATAAACGTGACATCATGATAACATAATTGTGGTCATGGTGCCATTATGTCTCTGCATGCGTGTTGAATCTGTCTACAGTTGTGTCTATCTATCTATCTATCTATCTATCTATCTATCTATCTATCTATCTATCTATCTATCTATCTTTCCATGACGCATATATATATATAATATATATAATGGTTGTAGCCTGGGGAAAAGCTGCAGGAGACAGTTAGAGACTGGGGATACACCACATTTGACTGCTATTTAAGAAAATCATAGAAAAATACATTAAAAGAGAAAAGGGAACATAGAAGACAGATAAAGAAATAAACTTAACCATTTAACTAGTAAAAGTCAGTGTAATTAATGCTTTTCCATTACTGAGTTCTAGTTATTGTATACTATGGCCAGCAGTGGAGATTCCTCCATCTACGCTGTTTACTATGAATGGGGGAATTGACTGCTTTTGTCTCATTCAGCCTACTCACTGAACAAAAGAGACAGCTATGACCAGTAGTGATGGGCTTGATGTTCGAGCTGAATGTGAGTTCAACTCGAATATCAGCAGTTTGTGTATTTGGCGAACACACGAACTGTCAGGGCGTTCGGCGGGCTATTCGCCCGCCAAGCTCCCCGCAAGGCACTGTGCCTTGGGAGCCCTGATTGGCTAAAGCCTTGTACCCCGAATACAGGTTAGGTGCAAGACTTTACCCAATCAGTGCCCAAAGAATGACTTTGCCAAATCATGGCTCACATGTTACAACTGTAAACAGTTGGGCGTAGGTAGCTGTCACTGCTAGCTCCGGCCAATTTTTTATATGTTGCCGGCATCTGTCAAAATGCCATTCTGGGGGGGGGGTTCTTGTTTTTTTTTTTTTTATTATTTCTATTTATTTTCTATTGTTTTATTTTTTATTTCGTTGAGTCGTCGTCCTCGTGGACAACGTCGGACATTGTGATTCATGGTGGATTACGTCGGTGGATCCATTTTTAAGAAAAAAATAAAAGACTTGTCAAAAACTTTTGTTTTTTTTTTAAATAAAGGATTTTTTCAAAAGTCTGGTGTTTTTATTTACAATTTGATTTAACCCTTTAGTGAATGGGTAGGGGTAAAAGTACCCCTTACCCATTCACAAGGGGGGGGGGGCGCATCAGGGTTTGATCTGAATAAGCCCCCTGCCCGCACCCCCACAACCAAAGCCCCAGGGCTTGTGGGGAAGAGGCCCTTGTCCCCATTGGCACAGGGACAAGGTGCTTTTCCAGTGGCAAGTTCTGTTACATATCTATGGTATATGCTCAATTGTATTGAAAAAGGTAAATAATAAAGCTGTGGCACTATTCTTGTTTTAGCCAAGCCATGTGCAGCATGCATATCAGACTGTGTGCTTGTGTTTCTCTGTGAGGCTGTGCAAGAAGTTCCAACAATAACGCAAATATCTAATCAGCCAATCAGATGTGCGTAGATCAAGAAAATCTGCTGAAGTTCAAACCAAGCATTAGAATGGGGAAGAAAGGTGATTTTAGTGACTTTTAACATGTTATGGTTGTTGGTGTCAGACAGCCTGGTCTTAGTATTTCAGAAAGTGCGGATCTACTGGGATTTTCATACACAACCATCTCTAGGGTTTACAAAGAATAGTCTGAAAAAGTGAAAATATCCAGTGAGTGGCAGTTCTCCGCCCGAAAATGCCTTGTTGATGCCAGAGGTCAGAGGAGAATGGGCAGACTGGTTCAAACTGATAGAAAGGCAACAGTAACTCAAACAACCACTTATTACAACCAAAATATGCAGAATACCATCTCTGAACACACAGCACATTGAACCTTAAATCAGATGGGCTACAGCAGCAGAAGACCACACCGGGTGCCACTCCTGTCAGCTAAGAACTGGAAACTGAGGCTACAATTCGCTCACCAAAATTGGACAATAGAAGTTTGGAAAAACGTTGCCTGCTCTGATGAGTCTTGATTTCTACTGTGTTATTCGGATGGTAAGGTAAAAATTTGGTGTAAACAACATGAATTAATGGATCCAATCTGCCTTATTTCAATGGTTCAGGCTGGTGGTGGTGTAATGGTGTGGGGGATATTTTCCTGGCACACTTTGGGTCCTCTAGTACCAACTGTGCATCATTTAAATTGCAACAATACTGAATATTGTTGCTGACCATATCCATGCTTCTATGACCACAGTGAGCATCAGCAGCGCTCAGTAAAAGGGCTCATTGCCCACCTCCAGCTGCTACTATAGTGCTGGGAGCATTTGTGATGGGGGAAGTTTACATTGGCCAAGTGGTGAGAGAGATGGGCCCACTTCCAGAACTACTAACAGCTCTTCTTCTGATGCCTGCCCTCTCGCCACACTGCCAGCATCACCCACCCTGCTGCTGCAGTGAAAGAGGAAGATGACAGACATAGGAAGTGCTGGCAGGTGTTGGAAAGTCTACTCTGTCTACCACTTTTGCCTTGTAGTACATTTTGGTAATATGCCTCATTTGTTCCGTGGCATTCATACCAGCAATAGCACTTCCTATTGCAGGCTGACAACACTAAACCACTGCCTCACAATTTGTGAGCAGCATTGCCAGTTTGCCAGGTGTTTGGTTAGGCTACTTTGCCAGCCCCAACCCCT